GTCCTGACCCGACGACGTAGCTCGTCTGTGCTGGTTGATTCTTTTGAACAGTGGCTGTTTTGTTTCCCCGATGTATAACTGATCACAGTCCTCCTGACACTTAACAGCATACACTATATTACTCTGTTTTTGCCGGGGAACTGGATCTTTGGGGTGAACTAATCTTTGGCGTAACGTGTTTTGGGGTTTGAAAGCCACTGGGACATCATGTTTAGAGAATAAAAGTCTCAGTTTCTCTGAAACGCCCGCCACATATGGAATGACGACTGGTTTGAGTCTGGGTTTAGGATCTTCATTTTCAGCTGGTTGTTGGCTGGAATCCTGTCTGTGTTTCCTGTCTGCTTTCAGAAAAGCCCAGTTAGGATAACCACACTGCTCCAGGGCCTGTCGTGTGTGTGACTTCTCTTTCTCCCTGGCTCCTGGGTTTGTAGGAACACTGTCTGCTCTGTGGTACAGAGTTCTGATCACTCCTAACTTGTGTTCCAGTGGGTGGTGGGAATCAAAACGCAAACACTGGTCTGTATGGGTGGGTTTGCGATACACGTCAGTTTCCAACCGTCCGAAACTGAGACCTCACAGTCCAGGAATGCCAACCTGCCATCTTTTACATCCTCTCGTGTGAACGTTATATGTTTATCCACAGAGTTGATGTGATCAGTGAAATGTTGGACTTCCTGGGATTTAATTTTAACCCTGGACTCTTTTGTCCACCATGTGGAGGCAGTGCTCTTAAGGCTGAGTTCACCTGGACTGAAGAAGTCTCTTGGAGGAGAGACGAAATGTTTCACTAAAGAACCCATCCAGAGGACCTACTTATTTTTTCTTTTTTCTACCTAGATTACTGATACATCAGGACATTTTGAACAGCGTATTCACATTTCAACCTTGATTTTGGGGGAGGCTGTGTTACAAGAATCAACACTGCAGTTTTAAAACTGTTTTTAATACGAAGCCGTTTTTATTTCCCATGATGCATTTTCTATTTGGAAACCTTTGATTCAGCTGATAAAATGTTACAAAAAGCCCTCAGAAAGAAAGAGATACGAGTTTTTACCATTTTAAGGGAAATTTAACGTATTGGAGAAAATGCTCAGTGCCTCTTATTCTGTTTTGACATTTTTTCTGTTCATTATTAGTACCTTCATCTTTTTCATTTGTTTTTTTTTTTTTTTAGTTTGAGGCACATGGAAGAATCTGATCAAGCAGCAGACAAAAAACAAAGCTTTTTAACTCTAAAATCATCTGTATTCCAACAGAAAACGTCCTTAACTGGTTTTAGTCATTCCTTATGATGGGAGATTTCTCCACATTTTAGCTCTTCTGTATGAATTCAACTCTTATCGATAAGAAAACTGCCCAAAACAAAAGCAGTTATTGTTGCCATTAAGTGTTAATAAAATGGTTTGGGAAGAAAGTGGGTTCAAAACATCAGTACATCAAAATACATTAAAGTGTAAAAAAATCCTGATTTTCAGCCTCCTTMAGATCATTTTTCTGATGTTCGACACCAACATTACAGAATGATTTTTAATTTTATTTCGGATTTTAACTCATTTGGTTATGTTGATGTAAAATACAGTTCACATATTGTTCAGTTGAATCTCTGTTGTATGCAAATAAAGAGCAGGAAGTTTTTATCTATAATTCAAATAATTTGATATTTCCTGTTTCATCCTGTTGAGTTTGTAAAACTGAGYTTCAGATTCAGAATAGTAAACCACAAAAACATACAGCTTAGAATAAAAACATGAGACCAGCTGTAGCACCAGGTCAAAAAGCTTTATTAAACTCTATTAAAAGGAACATTTACTGAACAGAGCTCACTGTTTCGGTCCAACAAATGAAAACAGTTTTATCCTAAACAAAATATTTTACAGCAGAGAGAACTTTACAGAAACATCTGTGAAAACAAACCACACAGAATCTCTTATCGAAAGCTAAAGTCAGTTCTACATTCAGACATGTCAGTTAAGCTGCTTAAAAAACACAAAAAGAAGGTGAAAGAATAGAAGGTGTCGTTTTACAGACTTTAGTTTTCAAACTGGGCCACAATTCTTTTCACGAGCAGCTCTGATCCAGTCTGGACCAGTTAAACCAGAACTAAAAGAAGTGACTAGCAGATTTATTTAAAATCTCATGTGAACTGCTCACTTTATCCAGACTTAAAAACAGTGAACTAAAACTTAACGTATATATATATATAT